GACAAAGACGCTCGTGCTATTCTTCCCCGTCTTGCTCAGCTCCCCTCCTCTCCTACATCTTTGTCTTCCACTGCTCCCTCCCTTTCTTTTTTTTCATTTTTTTATGCCAGTGTCTTTCATTTGTTTGGTCCCTTGGCGTCACCACTTCCGCTTAACCATATACTGCTGCTGTCTTTCTTTCCACACACTGGCACACACACTCTGCAGCACAATGGATACTGGAGTGGCATGTAATTAGTTTCTTCTTCTTATAAGGCAACTTGTTTTCGAGGGTTTCTAACATGAAAGACACCAGCTCAGGGAGGACGTCATCGCTTTCGTGATATTATATTTACCTTGTTTAAAATTTGCACTTTGTTGCTCCTTACATAAAATGTTAGTGCCAGTTTATGGGCATTATGGGAAATGTAGCAATAACTAACACTGAAGCTTGACTCAGTAACCTAAAACTCACAATATTGTGGCTTCTGTTGGAAGGATTTTGACCTTTTTTAATGCATTTCTCACAAATAGAGACCCTCTAAGGGAGAACATCATCACTTTTGTGACATAATTTTTACAATTCTTTTAAAGGTTGGTCCTTACATAAATGTTAATGAGTCAAATATTGTGATTTCTTGTCATTTTAGAAGAAAAGCTTGCTCCTAAATTCATGCCGATGTTGTTATTATAACAGGACAATTTAATTCTTATTATATTATTAATAATTCTGTAATATATTTGATGTTTCCTTTACAGTATGTGCCTCTCAGACATTCTTCTCACATTTTCAATTTTGCACAACAAGCGCAATTTACTCATTAAAACATTTGTTTAACATCGTCTGTGGTTCAGGAAATCAGACAAAATAACCCGGAAGATGTGAGCAAGCTAAAATCTAAGTTTGGGTTTGACAACTATGTTTTTGCAAAAAGACAGTGCTACAAACTGCTAGTTTATGGGCATTATGGGAAATGTGGGATTCAACGTCAATTCGGTTTAACCCTATTCAGGACTTTCATGTTGCCATATGTGTAAGGACTTCCGGGGTCCACTGGACCTCAAGAAAGAATATGTGCAAAATATTTGCTGGTATTCATTATAGACTTTTATCCATTCATCTATTATCTATACACCACTTATTCCTCACTATGGTGGCAGGGGGGCTGGAGTCTATTCCAGCTGACTTAGGGCGAAGGCAGAGGACACCCTGGGCAGGTGACCAGTCTATCACAGGGCTACACTTAGAGACAGACAACCAAGCACACTCACATTCACGACTACGGACAATTTAGAATCCGCAGTTAACCTCAAAATGTTTTTGGACTGTGTGGGAGGAAGTCAGAGAACCCGTAGAGAACCCACACTGCACTGGGAAAACATGCAAACTCCATGCAGAAAGATCCCGGTGCCCCCACCGGGACGCAAACCGGTGACCTTCTTGCTGCGAGGCAACAGTATAGACCTTTATACTATGTTAAATACATTTTCTGATAAGTTGACGTATTTTTGGTTCCAAATGCATGACAATTGTCTCTCTTTTTATATTTAAAAAACTATCTTCAAAATAAAAAACAATACCTGTCACCTAAACCAAATGGCCTGGGGTCCAAAAGACCCCAAAAGTCCTGAAAAGCGTTTAACCAAATGGCTAAAATGCTGTTTTGACCAAATTTTAATGTTGACAAGCGTCATCTCTTTTTTGATATTATTTTTACCATTTTTTCAAAGTTGTACTTCCTCACATAAATGTAGATATGTAAGGATAATGCTGTAATTTGCAGTCATTTTAGAAGAAAAACCTGCTCTTAAATATATTCATTCATGCTGATGTTCTTATCAACACATGACAGCTTAAACATCATGTTAACTGACACCCAGGCATTCGTCTAACTGTTACAGTGTGACACAGCAAGTGTAGTTCACTCATTACTACTCAGGCAATAAAAAATCTCCTGAAATATCTTTTATGGCTCAGGAAGTGTTGCAAAATTGCCTGAATGATGTGAGCATGCAATAATCTAAGTTTGGAAACTATTACTGTTAGAAATTCCTAGTTCTTATTTGTTATGTGAAGTGAAGCATTCACTGTCACCAAAGCTGCTAAAACTCACAATGTTCTGGTTTGTTTTTGGGGAAGAATTTTGACCAATTTTTTTCAGTTTTTGCAGTCGCTAGTGGCTGAAACCTCCATCTTCAACAAACCACAGACTAATCATAGCAGCTTCCTGCACAAGGCAATCAGTCTCCTTTTCTTTCGTCAGTGCAACTTCCTCTCCTCCTCTTTCATCTCAAGGAGAACAATTGTATAACACTCGACCATATGTGTTTGCATGCGTTCGGATCGATAGAGTCCTCTCTCTCTCCTCCTCCACCTCCTCCTCCTCTTCCTCCATCATTCTCAAACTCGTTCACACTCTCTCTCTGTTCATTTCTCTTCAGACCTAATCTGCTCGGTGTCCACTGGCTGCTGCCTCTGCTGTAACTCTCCTTCTATTGATCTGTTTCTTTCTCTCACTTTATAAGATGTGCATGCTGACACAACTTCATCTTACAGCATAGACAAACTAAGAAGAGTGATATCTTTGGACCTCTGTATACAGACCAGAGCATGACAGAATAAATTAAACGTCCGGTGTAATCTCCTATGCTGTCGACGGTTATGCATTTCTACCAAAGTGTGTGAAACCCTCCCAGCCTGCATCGAATCCTGCTTTATTTCTGTTTATGCATATTTATTGGTAGTGTGCCACTAAAAACAAATGCACATTGTTTAAAAAAAGAGCTTGTAAGTGTTATTTGTCCTCTGCTGAGTCATTCTGCTCTGTAAATCCAAAGTGAGCAGACTATGTATGGTTTTATATGATTAATTTCTCATGAATATGTTGCATCACGGTATAAATACAATACAGAGATTACATTTAAACCTGTTTACCTTACCATTTAGAGGTGCGAAAACAAGGAACCGACTACTAAAATATAAATAAAATCTATTGCAAGTTTTATATTTGCATTTCAACAAGACACAGTTCTACATAACATAGATTTCTTTACAGACATTCAGTTCGCCTCTAAATGTTTGATGGCAAGCAGAGAGTTTCTCTGAAAGCTAGTGAGGCTGTTTCAAGAGGATTTTTATATTATTCTTTCTCTGTCTTATTTATTGTTTTATTCTGAGTTTCACCCTAAGCAGAGATGTTTTTTTGTTTGTTTTTTGTCATTTTGAGTACCGTGGACGATAAAAGAGCATCCTGTTCGTTCTTTATGCGAGTTTAGAGTAATAAGTACATATGAACACTGGTGAAGATGAAAGAGTGCAGCCAGAATAAAAATGCATGTTTAGCACGTTGACAACCTGTTCTGCTGATGGGTGAAGTGAAAACATTGCGGTGTTAAAGCCGTTTGGCAGCCGCGGCGCTACCACCTGTGCCTCATGTTCATTTATTCAGTGTCAGCAGTGAAAACTGTTCATTTGGTATTTATTTCCTCAAAAACAGAGAAGCAGCTGGAATGTTCAGTAAACAGGACAGACTTTTTTATGCTGAGCTGAGTGAAAGTTATTGTATCTAATAGTATGTCAAACCTACAGTATGTTTTTCTTTTTGGCCACCATCATCCTCTTTTTAGCCGATATAGTGAAGTGGTAGGTAGATCCTTTACTTCAGTAAAAGTATCAAGTTTAAAGCCTGCATTAAAAGTTCTACATAAGTAAAAGTACATAACTGTTGCAAAATGTAATTAAATTGTCAAAGTAAAAATCCTGCTTTGGTCTCTCTGACTGAAATATAATTACATGTGCAATCAGCGTATCATTAATAGAATAGTATCAGAGTTAAGCAGCAGGTTATTGCTGTAGCTCCTGAAGATTCAAACTACTTTATATGCAGTTTTATATACAGGGACCGTGATTAAAAACTGGGGCTGCAAGGTGGCTCGGTGGTTAACACTGTTGCCTCACAGCTAGAAGGTTGCCGGTTCGCGTCCCGGTGAGGACACCCGGAATCTTTCTGCGTGGAGTTTGCATGTTCTCCCAGTGCAGTGTGGGTTCTCTCCGGGTTCTCTGGCTTCCTCCCACAAGGTCCAAAAACATGTTGAGGTTAATTGGTGATTCTAAATTGTCTGTAGGTGTGAATGTGAGTGTGCTTGGTTGTCTGTCTCTAAGTGTAGCCCTGTGATAGACTGGTGACCTGTCCAGGGTGTCCCCTGCCTTCACCCTAAGTCAGCTGGGATAGGCTCCAGCCCCCCTGTGACCCTAGTGAGGATTAAGCGGTGTATAGATAATGGATGGATGATTAAAAACTAAGAAAAACAAAGCTCTGATGCACTGTTTGTTTTTGGTTTCTGGACTTTCTCCTTTGATTTGAACATTTATATAAGATTTCTATTTGGTGGAGCTTTGAGCAACTCGTAAACGTCTAACAGTGACCCTGAATGCGCACTGCTTTTTTTGTGAGAGACCAAAAGTCAAAAATGTCAGAAAATGGTGTGTTATATTTCAAAAGCTAGTTATTCTATCCACTGTGTAAAATCTTAAAAGTGACTAAAGATAAATGTAGTGGAGTAGAAAGTAAAATGCTTTAAATGTAGCAGTGGACGTATAAAGCAGCTTAAAATAGAAACACTCATGTAAATTACAAGTCCATCAACATTCCTATGAAGTTGTATCTCTGGTCCACTATTCACTCTCAGCAGCTCTATTTTCTGGGTCTAGCAGCTCCTGAGGGAAACATCTGGCTCCTGCTGTTCACCAGCTAGTTGCAGACAGAGCCCATACTGCACACTGTTGGGTTTATAAGGGCTTATTACTGCAAACAACTGCCTGCTGCAGCCAAAAATGATATTATGGGAGCATTGAGAGTGAAACAAAACAGTAACATTGTGGGTCAGACAGACAATATTTCATAAATTGTTAACAAATAGCAATGTGGTGCAATTTTGCAAGGACAGGTTCTAAAGCAAAGATTAACCAGAGGGCATGCTAACTTTGAAAAAGATGCCAAAACACTATTCAGCAGAGCCAGAAACTGTAAATACTTAACCAAGTCTGAGGTTAAACTCATAATACTTCATTAAAACCACTTTATTCTACAAGCCTCATTTAAAAATGTACTAAAATAAACTGGTTGCAGGAACTAGATTCTGTAAAACAACAACATCTGCACTCTTCAGCACATAAGGGAGTCACTTGACCAAAATGCAGGGACTTTTCTGTTGTGTTAACATGGAGAGGACCAGAGACAAATATGGAAACAAAAAAAAAAAAAAAAAAGTGAAATATCTAAAGCATGGTTAAGGTTCGGGTCCACTACTGGCAAAACATGTGGACAGTTGGATAAATGGTGTTCTTGTTGATTCCAGGTTTATTTTTTTTTTAGGATTTATGGCATTAGAACTGCACAAAAGATTGTTTTAAGTTCTCTCTCCTTCTGGATCTGGTTTAGCTGTTTCCATCGAGGTGCAGGACTTTATGAAGCGGTGAAAAAAGAGCCCACGGTGAGGAGAAATGTGCAAAAACGCCCAGAAACTGCTCTGGCTTGAGAGGGTTAATAGCCTTAAGGAAGTCTTGCCTATTAAAAAGTGCAAGTAATAAAGTTGTGCCTACCTTTCCTCTCCAATAAATTCTAGTACAGTGTAAAGTTTGAAATGAGCATATATGAAAAAAATAGGTTTAAAACTAGGTTGCAGTACAAGTTCTTCAGGAAGCACCTTCTTAATTTTATCTCGGGCAGATTCCTGCAGAGAAAAATGTTTTTCACAGCAGAGAATTTGGTGCTCATCTTTTATGCAGCGACCGCATACACACTTCCATCTCTTTGCTGTTTTAAATTCTGCTTTATCTACTGGGAGAGGACGATCACTAAATCTGTGTTTGATCAAAGAGGACAGACGCTAATCAGCCGGGGCAGACTTTCTATGCAGAATCACGCTCACAATTTTGTTGCTCTCTGCTCTGATCTGCAGCAGTGTTTGATTTGCTTCATCATCTTCGTCCGTCTCTCGGGTCAGTTTGATTCAATCAGCTGAAACTTTGCTTGCGTTTATATAGTCTCACCAGCTTTGTAAGTTTATTTTCTCACGCCGACTACCTTCACGTCATCATCCTTTCCAAATATAATTTCTGCTGGTTTCACCTGCATGTGTCTTTGTCTGTCTCATTAACACTTCTCTGCAGCTTTAAGATCTTGTGAAATCGTTCCGCCTTCAGGGTGTCATCTTTTTTGCTGTGTCTCTTTCAATTACATTTAATTAAACCAGCCCTTTATAAAGACTATTGTGTAATGATATTGCCAAATCAATTATGCGCTGACTGCTCATCGGGAACAAAAGCACGCAGTTAGCCGGTGTCACAGTCAGGAGGAAAGTGAGCAAACGTGGTTCCTAGCAGCCACTTTGGAGCAAAATGAAGTGTGTGAGTGGATTAGGGGAGCTGTGAATGCTCTACGACATGAACACATAGGTTTATAATGTTACACAACTGCATGAAACTGAGAAAAAATCACAAGAAAAAAAAATCCATGGAGACCTTGGTCAGGTCAACACCAAGAAAAAACATTCGCTAACACAGGCTCAGTGAGTGGTTGAATAATGCAAAAAAAAAAAAGAAGACGACCGCAAGACAAGATGGAACCGACCCACAGACCTTCACAGGCATAATACATGTTAAACTCAATTCATATGTGAGGAGCAAGACTGACGTCAGCAATGTGACGCACAGAGAATGAAAGGTGACAAAAAAAACCACTAGACCATTGCATTAATCAAAAGTGGGCAAAATTGATTCAGGAAGCAGTTTGCAAGATGAGATCAAAAAAATTTCACATTTCATGGGTGCGAACTCGGTGATGGTTTGAGGGATTCTGACTAATCAGACATTCTCCTTCTATGTTTTCGTTGTTGAGCATCAGGAAATATTATTACCTTCAGTTTTTTTATAGCTACATAAGATTTCTTCTATTTTGCAGTGACTAATGGCGTTACAATGAAATATTTGTGTGCTAGTTTTTAGGGATTTGTGCCTCAGTTTGATGGATCGACAGTGAAGAGGCAGACAGGAATGAGACGGGATCATGATGGAGGGCTGCATGATATTGGAGAAAAAAAACATATGATTTATTACAATATGAAAAAATGCAGGAATGTTCATCAGATGACTTGAAAAACTCCATTTTAAAAGAATGAATGACGAGAGAATGTTGTAGGGGAAGGCATCTGCATAGAAATAGAAAATAATTACAGGGAAAAAAGCTCAAAAAAGGTATTTGGAATGTTTTCTTTAGGTGTAACAAAGGCCTCAAACTAGTGTTTTGCTTTGAACAGCATTCAGATTTAGCTTGTGGTGTTCATTTAAATGGTCAAATAAAATTAGTCCTATTGTTGCTCAAATCATCCTCTCTGTGGCTGATAGATTTCCTTTGAATTGATGCAGCATTTCTATTCATTCTTTTGTGGAGTATCCATGTCCACAAACTCTGTGTTTTAAAAGAATTAAAGCAGAATACATCGTGTTCCGTTAGACGGACTTCTCTTGTAGCTCAGTCATTAAAAATAAGAACTGTATGAGTCTTTGATGTTGTGTTTGAGTTAGTTCTCCTCACTTTACATTACATTACTGTGATGTGTGCGACAATCACACTGCAGCAAATGCAATGATAAAAACAAAATATTTTGCAGAACTAGACTGATGTGCATTTTAAGGACCCAGGGAAAAAAACTGATGATTTTGCGGTCTTGTTGCATGTGCTGAAACTCAGGGTGCTCCCAGCAGGACACCATATCCAAATTCTGGTTCCTTTTAACATGGCCTGTTTCCCATCAATATGGCTATTGTGGTCTTGCTACCTTTGTACTCTTCACCATTGTTTTAGAGATTTGGAGAAATGGGAACTTGCCCAAGATGGATTGTGATTAGCGTTTAGGCAATTAGCATTAGCTTCTTGCAGCTTTCCAAAGAAAGACTATTTTTACACAGTTTATTTTAAGCAGTTGTTTTGACCAAAAGTGCAGAAACCATTGATCAGAGAGACAGATTCTGCTAATGTACTCTCTTTAACTCATGGAGAGCTGAGCATTTGGTGTGGCAGGTATTTAGGAATGTTCTTCCAGTGAGCACACTAGTTTCCAAAGGCGCTGGTCAGTTCTGCCGCCTCCTTGGATAGAGATTCATGTATCGGTAGGCTATAGTAAAATGGCCGTTCTGCTTCTGTGTTTAAAACAGGACTTGTGAAAATTGTCTTTCTTCGAAAACCTGTAGGTTGCTCATCCTAAATTGCAACACAAAATTATGCTAAGAACATCCAACTAGGTGGCTCGGTGGTTAGCACTGTCATATCGCAGCAAGAAGGTCACCGGTTCTCGTCCCGGTGAGGACACCCGGGATCTTTCTGCGTGGAGTTTGCATGTTCTCCCCGTGCAGCGTGGGTTCTCTCTGGGTTCTCCAGCTTCCAACCACACAGTCCAAAAACATGTTGAGGTTAATTGGTGATTCTAAATTGTCAGTAGGTGTGAATGTGAGTGTGCTTGGTTGTCTGTCTCTAAGTGTAGCCCTGTGATAGACTGGTGACCTGTCCAGGGTGTCCCCTGACTTCGCTCTAAGTCAGCTGGGATAGACTCCAGCCCCCCCACGACCCTAGTGAGGATTGGGCAGGGTATAGATAATGGATGGACATCCAATTAATCCAAGGATTCCTTCTGAGCAGCATATTTTGCAAAAGCCTAGAATGAGGACTCCTTTGAACAGTAAGAAACCTTCAGCAGAACCCAGAGTTACTGAGATATCGCAATACCTGTGTTTGGAAAGTTACTTGAAATGAGTTGGTGACACATTGATCATTGCAAATAACGCAGAGGCATGTTTAGTCATCAGTTTACTTTCATTACTCAGCCCAGTTCCAATAGTTTACTCATCAGTACAGTGAAAAAAAAAAACAACGTGAAGATTTTGATGACAGGTGAAGAGGCAGACAGAAAACAAGGAATGAGACAGGATGACGACACAGTGCTGCATTATAATGGAAAAAACTAATATGATATATTACGACATGAAAAAAGTACAGGAATTTTTACCGGATGGTGTCAATAACTCTATTTGGAAAGAAGGAATCAGAATGACTGAGGTGATTTTGTAGGTGAGTGGATCTGCATAAAAAAAATTTTTTTTTTAAAAAATGCTAACTAAAAAATAATTACAACTGATTAAAGACACAGGGAACTTCTCATATGATGTACCACTGGCAAAAGCCTCAAAAAGATTTTTTTTAACTTTTGTTTCTCAGCCCAGTTCCAATAGTTTACTCATCAGTGGAAGAGAAGCTGTGAAAAACTGTGAAGAGAAACACAATTTGGTGAAAGCAGCCTGTCTAGAATTTAGCGATCATCAACAGCTTGCAGTCAAGTCCTCAGAGTGATGCTGTAAGTTTCCCGCATCCTCAAGCTCAAACCAGAAGCAGCTGATGTCTGCATTGAGGCTTAATAGCAGCTAATATTAGCAACCTAGCCAAGAAGCACAACAAGCAAATCCACAAAAAAAAGGTCACACCCTGCTCCCCTGCAAAAAAAGTTGAGCTATCAGTGGTGATGTTGTAAGTAACTGCAAAGTAATCCCTACATTTCAGACACTGATCCTTTCATCAGCACAAACTTTGAAGCAATTTCAAAAGTATTCACACATAAAATAGGCCTATGCAATACACGGCATCTACAAACTACTTGTTTTTATGAGTGTTTGCACGTTTTAAACACACAGAACCGAAAGGAGCAGTGGATTTAACCTCCAACCTGCTGTTTGGACTTGTGCTTGTCATGTTACTCTGCTGCCGGTAAAAGGGCCTCCTCTAAATATGGCAGCTGTCAGATGGTGGAAGCGCAGCAGCAACTTGTACAACAGCTTTTGACTCTGACAGCGCTGTCACCTGAAAAGTCAACACCAGCCTTGTATGTTAGCAAGATTGCCAAATATAAACGCAGGTATTCATGTCTGGGTTTGTGAGGCGGCACAAGCTACAGGCTGAAAAAAAACTGACTCTACATCCCACAACAAGGTAAAGAAGGTAGCTAAATGTAGAATCCGTCAGCTGGTTTGTGCTCATTTAACTTGACTATTCCAAAAATGTTGAGGTAATTTGTGTTTAATTACAAATATTAAGGCCAACAAAGAGTCCAGCATGAGCAGAAACACGGGTCGGTGCAGGGTCCAGCAGGTTCATCCCACCATATCTGTACAAATGTTGTCTGATCATGGCTCAAGGCTAAAGTGTGTGTTTTTGCTCCAAACAGCTCAGTTGGCAATTCAGTAGAAACGTCAGCCACTGTAGGAACTGCAGCAACACAATAATTGGCTGAAAGTGATGTGACAGAAGAATAAAAGGGAGAGAACTGACTCCTGTGTAGCTTTCTTGCCTCCACACACTCAGACAGTCACTGTACAAAGCTGGCGAGTTTGTGAACAGTCCGCCTTAGAGAGCTAAAGCACTGGTGGATGCAGCTTCTTAAGGCCAGCGCAGAAAAGATGAGGAAAGAAGGGGCTTAAGATGCTGGCGTGAGATCATAAAACCTAACCATAACCCTGAATTGTTACCTTCTGAACCACAAAACCCACTGTAAGGTTTTAAAGGCGTGCTATCTTTTAAAAAAAAAAAAAAAGAAGAAAAGAAAATAAAATAAAATAAAAATCTAAAAAAATTACAGCATTTATTGGCACCAGTCACTGTAAAAACAAAAATAATTTTCAACCTTCTAGTGGCCCTTCAGATTTATTTGGTTTTGTCAGGAAATGTAACCAAATCTAGGCTTGAAATCATAACATTTAATCAAATTCCTTTTATTCTACATGTTACATTTAAAAATGTGTCCAAAAGAAAGCATTTGTACTAACCAGATTCTGTAAAAAAAAAAAAAATTTTTGCATGCCTTATAGCGACAGTGAAGCTATTATTGTCTCAGCTGCAGACTGAAGTGATGTGACAAAAATTCTAAGATTTGTGGCTGGACTCGGGTGAACTGCAGGCTGTGTTTACACAGAGCAGATATAAGACAACAAGGGACACAAATTAAAAATATACATATTCAAGATTATCTATGTTATGTGGAGTAACCACTTTTTTTTCCAGTATTGGTGACACCTGTGGGCCCCTGGAAAAAATATTGTCTATGTTTATTGCTTTTTTTTCTTTTTTTTTTTCAAAATAAACAAAGACAATCAACTTTAATTTTTTTTTTTTTTTTTTTATGATATTATGGATTATGATTGTGATATACTACACAGGAGACATTTCCAATTCAATTTTATTTGTAAGCGCAGTTTACAACACATGTCATCACACAGCGCTTTACATAGTCAAGTATAGACCTTACAAATTTAAACAGAGAACTCAACAATCCAAAGTAGTCTTTGGACTTCCTCTGAGCAAGTGGTTGACAACAGTGGGAAGGAACAGTGGGGAAAAAAACCTCCGGCAGGACCAGGCTCAGGGAAGACGGCCATCTGCCTCGACTGGTTGGGTGAGAGTGGGGATGAGGAGGGGTGGGGAAACAGGATAGCAGATGGAGAACAGCAATATAGCAAAACAATAAATATGAATATAAGTATGTTGGGGGTTGGTGAGGCCAGTGGCTGGACGTCAGGGACGTGAAGCTCCGGATCTTTAGACGTCCGCAGGGAGCACAGGACAGGACCTCGGGGGAAACACAGAGTTAGTGACATGTAATGGTAGTTATAACTATGGAAGGAAGACAGAAGAGAGGAGAGGAGAGGAGCTCAGTACATCATTAGAATCCCCTTCAGTCTAAAGCTATAGCAGCATAACTAAGGGACAGTTCAGGTGATGCTGAGCAGCCCTAACTATAAGATTTATCAAAGAGGAATGTTTTAAGCGTAAACTTATAAGTAGAGAGGGTGTCTGCCTCCCGAACTCAAACTGGGAGCTGATAACTGAAGGCTCTGCCTCCCGTTCAACTTCTGGAAACTCTGGAACCACAAGTAGACCTGCAGTCTGAGAGCGAAAGGCTCTGTTAGGATGATACGGCACGATAAGATTTTTAATGTAAAATGGAGCTCAGTCATTGAGAGTTTTATATGTTAGAAGCAGGATTTTAAATTCTATCCTGGATTTTACAGGGAGCCAATGAAGAGAAGCTAATACAGGAGAAATATGATCTCTGTTACTGGTTCCTGCAGCATTTTGGATCAGCTGGAGGTTTTTGAGAGAATTATTGGGACATCCTGATAATAGGAATTACAATAGTCCACTCTAGAAGTTATAAATGCATGGACTAGCACTCTGAGACAGGATGTTCCTCATTTTTGCAATATTGCGTAAATGAAAAAAGGCTGTCCTACAACCTTGCTTTATATGGCCATCTTGAGTTCTCTCTGGTCATGTTTGTGCCATTTCCAGAGGGTGTAGGACTTTATATTGCAGTGAAAGTGAGCCTGCACTGAGTAGAAATGTGACAAAAGCAAAAAAAAAGGAGTTCAGAAAGTTAACTTCCAATCTCAAAAAATAACTTTAATTCAGCTCCAATTCGATCCATTGCGTTAATATAATCCATGTGACCAAACTTCAAACCAAAATTAGATCTCAGAAATGACTCAGGCATAACTTGTTTGCATGTTGGTTTTTTTTAGGTTCTATGTTATCACGTGGCCCATTGGACGGTAGAAACACGTGGCACCTGCATGCTCACTTTCCAAATACACGTTTCAGATCCTTTTTTTTAATGGTTATTGTGGATGATGCCCATTATCTCCCATCTCTCGGGACTCAGACACTTTTATTAGGATCTGTATCAACCACTGGCAGACAGCATTCAATCCATGTGATGCCTCAGTGCCCCCACAGGTAATAGACTAGAGAATAAATACATGAACTATTAATGGATTTTCTTCCGTTTTTGTCTGCAGGCTCTTGTTTCTAAAGCCCTCCCTCCTGCTTCCCCTACATATCCTCAACCCTAGCCATCAGTCCACCCTCACCTCTCTCTCCTTGCATCCGTCTGTTCCCCTTTCATCTGTTATTTTTAACCCTCAGACATGCCTCATGCGTGACGCAGATAGGCGCGTAACAGTAAACTAAAGAGGGAAAAGGGCCTGGGCTGCAGGCAGGGAGACACATGGAGAGAGCGACTGATATTAGAGAGGAAAGAAAGCAGACACGGGGGGTCTTGTTATAGAGAAAAGGTTGGAATAAGACCGAATGGGAGACCACAGCAGAGGGGAAAGTGGTGAGATGGATGCGAGAGAGGCAGAAACGGTGCCAATCCATGTTTTACACATAACTCTCGGCTTAACAGATTCCCTAAAACTCATCACCTGTCAATAAGAAAACCTGACAGCATTATTATTTTTTCACGCGCTACTGCGCTTAAGAAACTAAAAATCATAATCAGCAGTGAATTATTCCCACCTCTTCCCTCTCCCTTCGTTACCCCATCTATCTTCCTGAAAGCTCAACACACCCACTCGTTTGTCTGAGCAAAACGAAGAGGAGTTACATATCAATCTTACATCACTCAGCAGTCAGCCCGAGACTTTTCATAGAGAGGCTCCGAATGAGCGTCGACAGCACATGACGCACACCAACTGTCAGGTTGAAGTATTCATGCGCCTCGTGTGTGTTTTTTTGCATGCATGTGTGTGGAAAAAAAAAAGAAAAGATGTGGAAATGTGTTTGTGAATGCGTGGCTGCGTAGATAGGAAGTAGCCCAATAGGATCATCTAGTGCAGAGGAATTGGAAAGTTTTGTCCCTCCATATGGTCTGACGCCTTTTCCCCCCTTTTCCCTCCAACTCATAAACATGAGTTAACGTTACTCATAATTGGACAATGAGACTAAAATTGTCAGTGCACTCCCACTCAACATACGTGTTCAAGCTGTTTCCAAACTTGTGTATCACAAGTCCTGCGTGCAACAAAGGCAGCATCCAAATTATTGCCAATAGTAGTGATTAATAAGGCTGCACGTAGGAATGTATTATTCAAATATCACTGCAAAATTAGTACTGATGACACATCCAATTGCTGGCAAAAAAAAAAAAAAAATCTGGTAGTTTGATAGCAATTATCAATGTGGAGAATCATCTGCTCAGTGGTTTTGTTTTATCTGCCTGACTAAACTCATTAAGCTTGCTGAGAAACAGTTACAGTAGAGTTTGTGGGAAGAAAGAAAATGACGTTTTTATTCTAAAATATGGAAGACCAAATGTGACAAATGAATAAATTAACAGGTAAAAACACAAAATGATCAAATAAACTGAAAAATATATCAATGAGAACACTGTGAAGCCCCTTTCAGGCATATATAACGTTGCTGCTTCATTAAACTGTTGAAGTGACAGAATTGTGTCATTCATTTTATGTTAATGCCGCACAACATTAAAAGAGACACAGAACATGCATAATATTTGTTTAACATGCAAGATTAGACAGCACATTAAATAACATAATGTATATTAGTGCACTAATAAACTCAGAGAAAAGAATCCTACAAACAACAGGAAGCATCAACCTAAACTTAACCATAAATCTCACCAGTTAGTGTTTATTGCAGTCAATTTTTATGGATATTTTTTGACTATTTCAAAATTGTAGAACAAAGTCAATGAAAAAGGTGTTTTGTGATTTTGGCGCACCGACTGTGTGTCTGATGTTTTTGGACCAATATTGGTGCTAATTTCTGTAAAAAGCCTTCCCTAAATTGCTTCACACACCTCAAAGTGTGTCGTTTGTGCACACTTATCCCTGCAGTTCAGAATTGTGCCATGTCGAAAGTGGCATGTACACTATATGTTACTGGATCCGAACAAGTAAATTGCCAACTTTTACTAAAAAGTGATCATTCAGACATGAACTGGACATGTTACACTGCCTGGTCAAAAAAAAAGTCGCCACCAAAAAAAAAAGGTCATACACTCTAATACTTTGTTGGACCGCCTTTAGCTTTGATTACGGCACGCATTCGCTGTGGCATTGTTTCGATAAGCTTCTGCAATGTCAAAAGATTTATTTCTATCCAGTGTTGCATTAATTTTTCACCAAGATCTTGCACTGATGATGGTAGTCTGACCGATCACGATCATTCAGGATTTTTTTCCGGCCACATTTCTTCCTTGAAAATGATGGGTCCCCACTATCCTTCCAGTTTTTAATAATGCATTGGACAGTTCTTAACCCAATTTTAGTAGTTTCTGCAATCTCTTTAGATGTTTTCTCTGCTTGATGCATGCCAATGATTTGACCCTTCTCAAACAGACTAACATCTTTTCCACGACCACGGGATGTGTCTTTCGACATGGTTGTTTAGGAAATGAGAAGCAAGTCATTGCACCAGTTGGGGTTAAATAACTTGTTGCCAGCTGAAAGATAATCACCCATGCAGTAATTATCCAATAGGAGGCTCGTACCTATTTGCTTAGTTAAATCCAGGTGGCGACTTTTTTTTTTGGCCAGGCAGTGTATGATGCTGTCAGAAAAATGCAAAGCAGTGCATGTCTGAAAAGGGCTTAAAAAATACTAACTAAATAAAACTTACATTTAAAAATTATAATAAATCAACAAAATATTGAACTAAAACATGTACAAATGTTAAATACTGATTTTAACATTTTTTTAAAAAAGTTTACAGGAACAATTGAATGTTCATGCTAGTAAAAATCCAACCAAAGGTGTAGCCATTTTCATTCATGTTAATAATACTCATTATATTTTGGATTTAGTTTGCAGATTGCTGCACATTATTTTTGTGTCAGACTGGTTATTGTGTTTTCCAATCCAAAAATTTTGATTGCTGTATCATTAATGCCCTAATGTTAATCAACATGACATTGAATTTAATTAGATATTGACGACTGTAAATTACACTATATATATATATATGAGTAGTCTCCCTGCAGAGTTTCCTCCCAGAATTCAGAAAAACTTAATCTGAAGGAAAAAAAATCCAGAAGGCTCTTACTGCTACTTATAAACCTCGTTGCGCTGAGTATATCACTGAAGAGTTAAACGTTGTTTTTTTCCAGTTAGCGCTTTATTCATGCATGTAATCAAAGCCATTTAAAGGAATGACATCCGTTAAGTGGGGTGTGAGCTCTTAAAGGGTTTTTTCAAAATGAACAGTAATACAATGTTAAATGCTTATTGAAAAAAAAAGCTGTGATTTCAAACAAAGAAAAAGTGACTATTTAAACTGACGCAACCGATTAGAGATGTATCGATGTCTTTCTTTTAAATAATATTTTCCGTTTTAACTGCAAGTCACATAAAAAGACACAGTGATTATGGTTTAATCCATTCTATTATCACTTCAGTTTGCTTCTCCGTGAAGCTGCTCTGAGCGAACATGACTGTAGCTCTGACTATCTTATTAAATCACACTTGGAAACCCTATAGATTGAAGAAATCCTCCTCCACATTACATCGGGTTAAATTACCACCCCTACCGGCATCCAAAGCGAAGGATTTGTTGCGCATTCACTCACCTACAGAGACCATTGTGTTGTTGTTACATAACAACCATTTATTCTATACACGGCGAGGTCAGTACCTGAGCGACCTCGCCCTGCCAGAGAACAAATGGGATGAGGAACACAAGTCAACAAAGAAGTCGTGCGCTGGCATCGTAATATGTTCATCAGCTCCTAATGCATTCGGCGAATCCTTATCGCCGTTGTTTTGGGTCCACCTGACCGAGCAGCCAATCAGGCGGCCGGACACGCCGAATCCCCACTGTGGAGGATGTTAAAAGGTGGAGATTAGGGGAAGTATGTGTGCATCTGTGTTTCTCCCTTCCTCTCTTTCTACCTCTCTTTACCCATTATTTAGCAGAATTGTACCTCAAGGAATCATTAAGCTCTTATAAAGCTATCCCATAATGCCCTGCTGCTGAGACAGTCCCAATTCACAGAGTGACATCAGAAGCAGAGCTGGAGAGCTGCATGTGTGTGTGTGAGGCAGCCTGCACGCTGATCCACTCACATATGAACGTCCATATGTGTGTGTTTACTTGTGCGTATTTGCATGTGTGTGCGTGTCGGCCTGACGTCAATACTCCTCCGATCCATATTTAACTGCATAGTGAGGAAGGCTCATAGCACCTTGTAGGTGTCTTATCTGAATGTATTTATAGACTGAGACTAAACTGGGTGCCAGTGTGACAGGTGAAGTGTGCCTTTCCCACTCTGGCTTGAAAAGACGGCCGAAGCTAGATTTATTTCAGGAGCAGGACTGCGAAGGGAATCTGTCCTGATAGAATTGGGTTTCTACCACTGTTTACAGACGCAGATAGTGTTTCAAGTAGGAGGGATGAAAAAATAATGAGGAAAGTGCTGAGATGGTGCGTCATCACATATTAAACTTATAAAACCCGACACCCTGCTCGCAAAAACAACTGCAGCTTGAGCTCAAGCACTTTGAATTTGCGTCCACAGTTTGCTAATTTCTGTCAAGTGGCAAAAAAAAAAAAAAAAGAACGAAGTGAAAAGATGCTTTTTGTGCAGCTACAAAGGAGCCTAAAAGCACACACAAAAAAATATCTCAAGTAAACATAAGGTGAATGCAATTAGGTCATAGGATGTGTCTGAATGGAAAAATGTTCACTTTTACTCAGCTGTAAGACCTCTTTCAATGGTTTTGCTATTTCTGCTGTTCTCTCCACCTACGTGCCAATGTGGTGATGACTGTGTTTCCACTGTATCTGGGAAATCTTCATTCATAAAATGAATTTCCTGTGAATTTCAATTCGTTGTGCCAACTGCCAATCAATAAGCTGCTCCAGGAAAGTAGCAGATGGTAGGAGAGGAATGTACGAAACCTCATTAGGCCTGCTCTAAAGAGATATATTGCAATAAGTAGTTATAAAAAAACAATGCAGTATAGTGTCTGAGAAAACATTAACAAGTGCGCTTTGTTGTTGTGAACAAGCCAGTCAGAATGAATCACTAAAACTGAAATTCAGATAGCTTTGTTGTTGAAACGAGGACGGAGCACTGCAGCGGCGGGAAGTTCTCCCAGCACTGACCCAGAATCAGCCAGCTGGAGTCATTCAAAATGCAAAATGCATAAAATATTAATCAAGAGTCTACAACATATAAGCTCAAGCTTCAACTTGGTATTAGAGGTGCTGCCAGCAGAATTTTAATCTGACTGATTAAAGGTTTCTTGCTGCAGTGTGGGAGTCCTGGTATACTCCACTCACACACTTGTGTTTTCTGGCTTGTATCGTTGATATGTTGTCAATGACCCTGATCGTCTCCTCAGAAATGTTCATCTTAATTTAGCCAATAAAATAATATGTTCCTATCTTGATGCTTAGGTGAAGTGACAAACACCTGGCTAAAAGGCTGTTCAGATGAGTTATAGAAATAGTAAAGGTGTTACCAGTAATTACACCTAACAGTGCCTGCTCTAATCATAATTTAGTGATGTAATACTATAATACAGTTATAGTATAATAGTTATATATAAAGATATAGGTTTGGTATGCCTATGACGTCCTGAAAACACCACTCATTCATTATGTGCACGGTTTTCATAAAGGCTCAAACAAAAATGTACACTGGCTGCAGTCCAAACAAGCAGGTTTACATGAAGTGGAATATAAAATGAAGAGTGGCGTGTTGTCCTGTACAGCAGAGCACTGTCCTACGGTCGACAACAGAATGCCAACAATCCCAGTATTGATTTTTCTTCTGCAATACTGGATATTTCTTTGTCCTGGCAGAGGAGTGTTCTCCAGAATTTCAGAGATGCACTAAATAAACTATTCCTCCATCCATTTTTATATATTTTTTCCATCAAAAATCCATCCGTCCAATCATAGAATTCCACCGAAAGTTTGTGGTTGATGTGTTCAAATGACATTGAATTAGTTGGATTTTGGGTCAAATCCATCAGGAAATGCAAGAATAAAAGTGTGTACATTAATCTGCCGAGAGCAGGTTATCCCCAAAAACTGAATAACTGTACAAGGAACATACTAGTGAGGGAGGCCACCAAGACACCTTTGACTCCTCTGAAGGAGTAACAAGCCTCAGCAGCTGAGATGGGAAAGACTGTGCAACAACAACTGTTGCTTGTTCTTCACCAAAGTTTATGGGAGAATGGCAAGGAGAAAGCCACTGTCAGAAATGTGTCAACTAGAGTTCCCAAGAAGGCATGTAAGAGATTTTTAAATCAACTGAAAGATGAATATTTGAACTAATGAAACCAAATTTGAGCCTTTTGGTCATCAGACTGGCTGTTGCCTTTGGCAAACACCAATTATTGCACATCATCACAAACACACCATCCCCACCATGAAGCATGGAGGTGGCAGCATCATGATGTGGGGAGGCTTCTTGGCAGCAGCTTCTGAAAAGCTTGTAAAGGTAGAGGATAAAATAAATGTAGCAAAGTATAGAGAAATACTGAACGAGAACCTGAAGCAGTCTGCAAGAGAACTGTGACTTTGGAGAAGATTTGTTTTCCAGCAGGGAAATTACTAAAGCATACAGCCAGAAATGCTTTAAATACAACAACTTGAAGGTTCTAGAGTGGGTGAGTCAGAGCCCAGACCTCAGCTCAACTGAGACTTTGTGGCTGGACTTTAAAAGGGCTGTTCAATCATGATCTCCATGCAACCTGACATGTTTGCAAAGAAGAATGGGATAAAATTTCAGTGTTCAGATGTGCAAGGCTGACTAACACCAATCCATAGTGGTATAACTGAGGCCAAAGGTGCAGCTACTAAATAGAGACTTGAGTGAATACTTTTGTAATCCCTTAATCACTTATTGTTTCTCCTTTTATTGGGGACTGGAAATTAAGCTTATACATGAGATAAGTCGGACTGCAAGGTGGCTCAGTGGCTAGCACCGTTGCCTCGCAGCAAGAAGGTTGCCGGTTCTTTGTGGAGTTTACATGTTCTCCTCGTGGGTTCTCTCCGGGTTCTCCAGGTTCCTCCCACAAGGTCCAAAAACATGTTGAGGTTAATTGGTGATTCTAAATTGTCCGTAGGTGTGAATGTGA